TGAATCTCACAGGGAGGGGGAGGGAGTTTCTGTTGACCTCTGTTGACCTAGCGTTCCAAAGCATGGGATGCTGATCTGGGCTGCTGTAGCATTGTGGTTCCTACTGGGAAAAGTGATAGCAAGAGGCGTCTGGATTGTTACAAGGCTCTGTTCTCTGTGTGAGTGCTGGTTACTTGGTGTCTACACCTTGTCAGGGTTCACAAGGAGATGGACTGTGTACTTTATGAATGCTACACTTTATATAAAACTTCATGCATATACACATACACAGAGCCCCTGACTTACAGTAGTTCAACTTAATATTTTATCAACAGTGATGGCAAAGTATTTACCTTTAGTAGAAAACATATTTCAAATTTTGAATTTGAATCTTTTCCTAGACCCATGAAAAGAGGTGCTGACCTTTCTAGATTGGACAAGTGATAGTGAAGAACCCTAGCTCCCAGTCAGCCACACTGACACAACCCACAGCAGTGTGCTGTGCTGCTATTCGGCAGGTTAGGTTTATTCAGAGCATTTTCCACTTGTGAATGCATTTTCCCTTTGTATTTTATATCCCTATTGAAAGGCAAAGCACATATGTATGTACATATATGTGTTTGTATACATTTGTATATGTGTACATACATATATATATGTATGTAATATAAATATGTGTGCATTTATACATATATATGGTTTGTGTGTGTCTTTCCATTCTGTTTATTCAGATTTTTAGATGGAGTTGCAGTCAGCCTCTTCTCAATACTTTATCATTGCTCAGCAACTGTCAGATGGTAATAAATAATGGAAATAACCTTTGCAATAATGCAAAGAAATGTAATCTAGCCAGACAGATATTGGTACTAGAAGAAAAGTGGGCATAAAGTATCCTCAGTGCTATCAATTTCCAGAGAAGCAATTCAAGTAGCATTGGTGTCTTGCAGAGGCCTGTTGTAAATCTCAACAAGAAAGTGACCAGCAATGGCATCTCCACAAAGGTCGTTATGTTGTTCCTGACCAGGCTCCTCTCCATGAAGAGAGCGAGAATGTTGGTGGATGAGGTGGAATGTGGATGCATTCCCCTAAGGATAGTGACTGTAACTAAAGCAGAACAGCAAAGCTGTTCTGTAAAAATCATGACTTTTCCCCCCAAAACCTCAAATACTGAGTTAGTTTTCCAGACAAAGATTAACAACATTGGCCACAGCTTGTCAGAAACTCAATCTAGAACTACTGGAAATGTTAACCCAAAAATCACTGGCCAATTAAGAGACAAGAGCTCTGGCACTTTGGGCAGGGGACTAGAATTTGGCAAAGAGGACCAAGACCTATAGTCCTGACCATCATTGCGTTGTCATGGTGTAGAAGCCACCTAAGGTTGGCTCAGATTTGATTCTGCTCTGGCAAAGGAGGTCCTAAGTGAACATCCTATGTATACTTCTGGTTTAATGATCAACCTTCTAGGAGCTTTTTGACCAAGTTTTCCAAGGGTTTCTTTGTTTGGTCTGCCCAGAAGCATACTTAAGCTACAGTGAGGAGAGGTGGTCCATCTGGGAGGTGGCTCTGGGTATGACTGGAGACAAGCAAGGCCATGACACAGCAGCAGGAAAGGGCCAGCCTGGATAACCTAGGCCGGTGAGCCTTGAGGCTGTGAAGAGATACCCTAAGGAGTTAGAGAAAAATGCTAAGGACTAATGCTACCAAGGACTAAAGTCCCCCAAACCCAGGCATCAGAGGACACTGAGGTTCCCTACAACTCAGCCCCAAGTCAGTTCTGCTTACCAGTGCTCCCAAATCCCTACAACAGAAATTGAGAGACACCACGAGTGATTATTCTTATTTTCATCGACAAAGTATGGGAATTGCGTGTTTTTCAATAGAGTATGAACACACACATGCACACACATACACACACCCCTGCATAAAGTGATCCAGAGGCTTCCAGGCTAGGTGCCTGGTGATAAAGAGCCAGCAAATCAGACTGCCAAGGGGAACTGTATATAAGCTTCAGAGAAGCTGCTGCAAGCAAGTGTTCAACTCATACAGATATAAATCGTGTTGTCATGTCATGCCTACAGGGTAATCTGTAGTTAGATTTCTTGGGGATGCTTATTGAGCATTCACTTATGCCACAGAGTTTCATGTGGAAGCCTGGGTGGGGAGAAGCCTAAGCTCCCAGTTTGGATGGATAAGCATATAACATCTGCTCATACCTGAGATCCTTATCCCTAGGAAGTGCCAGTGGTTCTATTCCTTTGTTTTCCCCTCCACTAACACAGTGAGAAACTGGGATCAAGGACTGTTTGCAGAATTTACTGTGCTATCTTCTCGTAACAATACATTTCCACTCAGTTTCACCTTCAATGTGTGCAGTTCACAAACTCGGAGAGCCAGGTTAAGAACCTCTGCCCTCATGCCTAGTAAGAAAACACACTGAGTCTGAATCTATAGTCCACAAGTGGCTAGGATGGAATCTTCCTTCCCATTTGCACCATCCTCCCAAAGGGATGAGCAAGCTGTAATGTAGGCACAGTCACTTGTTTTCTGAAATGAAGGGATGCTGTCAAATCATCTTCTTTTAGCCATGGCATGCATAACACCTGTGCCTATGGGAGCATAGAACATAGGAACTGTTTCCATGAAATGTGGGCACCAAACATCCTTGCTGAAGAGAAGCCCACGTGTTAACCTTTAACTGCTGATTTTTACTATCCCCATGGCAATTCCTGAATGGCACATTTCCTGGATCTTCATATCAGAAGCCTCAGAAGTATGCCTAAAAATGCAAACTGATCGGTCCCCCCAGTGTAAACTAGGAGAATGAAAGAATGTGCATGATCCTCAGATACATTGGCTTCAGAGTGAGCATTCTGGCACTATATGTGCCTAGAACCCTCAGTATCAGACTGGAACTTAGCTCAAAAAATGGGCAGGATCCCTCTTCTCCAAACACCCCTAGAAAAGTCAGAAGTGGGGACATTGGAAATAGCTGATCTTGTAGAGCTTATGTACTAGGTCATTCATCAGTAGCTATTAACCTCCAACCCTCATGCCTGACCCCTGTACTAGCCCAGACCCCAGGGAGACCATAGTTAATGAAGGATTTGTAGACCTGGCTTCAAAAGTCAGCACACATGTTGATGCTGTTGAGACAGAGAAGTTGCATTCAGGAGCATTCAGGGTCCTGATCAGCTAAAGGGGCCTCTACTCTCCTTGGAACTGGAGCTTCCTTCCTTTTGCCTCCTTTCCCCCAGCTTTGCCTTCAGAGAGGAGGACTGAGCTAAGGATGGGGATACTGGCAGTAACTACAGTAAAGCCACACTTCTGATGATCAACACTGTTTGGAGTTAATGCCAGGAAGGGCAATTACAGTAAATTATATTATAGGACACTGGGGTGTTTGGGAGTGCTATTAGATAAAATGAAGCTCAGCTAATTATGAGTTAATTAATTAATTACTGTTGTCCTAGAAGACATCTCATTTTGCATTCCCTCAACTCTGCTTCATCAAAAAAAAACTCATCCCCAGTGAGCGCTAAAGCACAGTTCCAAGGCAAAAAAAAGGAGTGGAAAGAAACCTAGCCTTCAAGACTTAGAAGTTAGGAACAAGAGAAGGGGGCCGGTGGAAGATGAAAGTCCCTTCTGAACACATCACAGAGTCAGGAGATTGTAGAAGAGGAAAATCTACTTCATGAGATCTCTGAGTCTGATTCGCTATGGTTCATGGCACAGTGTGGGTGTAGAACTTACCTTCCCATGCCTGCTTAAAAATTGCAGAAATATCACACACAGACAACCTATGAAAATTAAGTCCAATAAGAGAATCTGGTTTTTCAGATATACCCACTGAGAGCAAGTTAGAACATTCCCCAAATCCTTCAATCCTGACCTTAGAGGCCCCTCAATTGGCTGGGGGTTAGCCCTCTTCAGCATCACACACAAACTCCTGAGCACCACAGCCTTGGTAGCATCTTATTCTATCTCCCAAGTGAGCTTGTTTGACTTGGATCATCTGTCCATATGGCTAAGTCTGAATCACACAACAGCCCCCACACTAACACAATGCAGGTGCATGTGTGTCACAGCAAGGAGTCTTCCAGCCGGCAGAGTCTAAACAGATAAGTACTTATTCTTCACATAATGAATTTTAGGGTAGGAACTTACCACTGCCCCAAGGAAGGTAGGAACTTGGAAGGGAGGAGTAATGTGTCATGTCAACTGTGAAAGAAAAGGGTTTGGAATGGGCTTAAGAGTCTGCCAAAAAATACCAAACCTGACACACCATCCAACCTCCATGTTCCTATCAACCTTGTGGACTCAAGAATGTGAATCTTATTTACCCTAAACCTTGTTACAAACAGAGCGTTCAAAAGCACAAGGAAGTGATCTTACCTGAAGTTATTTTGCCAGTGAGTGAGTTTTATCAAGTCTAGTCATGGCAGGGTGAGGAAACAGGAAACAGATGGTACTATGGCTCTGTGATGACCTAACCCTGAAGACCAGAGTCTTAAGTATTCTGGGATCCCTTTAATAATCTCATATCCTCCTTTCCTCTCTTGGAAATAAAGCTATAATTTCTTTCCCCACACCTCTACTGGGAAGTGGAGATTTAAAAAGATAAGTGTGAGCCCACAGTACAAAGTGTTATTCACATGAAAAACAAATCTGTATTTGATAGGAAGGATGGGCAGAGGGAGGCACTGCAGGGGCACAGCCTCACCCCTACCTGAGAACCCAGATCCCACCTTGATGATACTTGCTCAGCTACTCCAAGACTTGTTTTCCCAGAATAAAACTTAGTCCTTTCCTGCCTCGCTACATGGGGAACAAACGACAAACACTGACATATTCCTTCTTTGCAGGTTGGAGAACTACCCAGGGATTGTGTGGCGGGGGGAGACGTTTTCTCTAGAATCAGCCAAAGTTAAAGGTTGGGATGGAGCCACAGTCGAATCTTCCACGCTTTGATCCTTCCCACTTGCTCACTGTCACTTTCTTTTCCTTCTTTAATTCTGCAGACTAACAAAGCCGTGGCCAAAGGGGACTTCCATCAGGCCAGCACCAGTTCCCGGAGGGCCCTGTTCCTGGCTGTGCTGTCCATCACCATCGGAACTGGCATCTACGTGGGTGTGGCTGTTGCCCTCATCGCCTACCTCTCCAAGAACAACCATCTATGAGCTTCCTGCAGGCAGGCACGGAGGGGAGGAACCCAGGCCAGATCTGTGGGAACAGAGAAGGTAGAGCTGGCCAGGGGTAGACACACCTGTGTGATACTCTATAGTGAAAGCAATTGCAGAACGACTCCACGATGCCCTGGAATTTTCTACCCCTGGATTCCTCTTGTTTTTATCCTTCCATTTCATTTTCACAGCACAGTTAGAGCACCAGGCAGATGGGCACTGCTAATTCTTCCAAATGGGAGTTCCAAAGAACCCAGCCCACGAGGCTGTCTCTGGATGGATTCTGGTGAATTTAATGACAATGCAGCTCTCTCTGCAGCCTGCCAACCTGGAATGCCACTGCATTAGCAATACACAAACAGTAAAATTTTAAAAAGTGTTTATTTTTTATGGAATACGGTGCAATAGGCAGAGGGCAGGGGCCATGTCACTCTGCTGTCTGTGGCCCACTTGACTCCTCTTTGTCCCCCGCCTCTATGTGATTTCTCTGCCAGAAGCAAATGGGACTGAGAAGAACATGACAGAACATCTAGAACATCTGCAGATGGGTCCTGCCTGGAGAAGACAAAGCCAGAATAACATGGAATCTGTCCCCAGACCCTGTTCCTTCGCACCATCGCCATGCTGCTACAGCTAGGAATGAATGTCAGACCATGTCCATGCAGCAGCTACCATGGCAACTTGCAGTCTTGGGGTCTCATTGGTGAGATGTAAGACAGGCTATAGCCCCTCCTGTGAAGTCTGGAGGAAGAGCCCAGTGCTTGCTGGGGAACCTGGAAGACATACAAGACGCTTCTGAAAAAGCCACCCCTACAGATGCTCGCCCTGGTCACAAGCAATGTCACTAGTGATCTGAGTAATGAGATGGGCCTTACTCTGTCAATTAAATGAATCGCTATTTTCTTGTCATTTTTTTAAAAGTGCACCTCTTGCTTCATGCTGCTTAAGTTATCAGATGAATGCGTTAAAAAGAAAACTATTCATGGACGTTTTAATACCATTTCATTGCTGTTTTTTGAGTGTTCATTATTTAACAAAATTATCTTTTAGCTTGTTTGCTTGAGACTTTTCTTTCTGACGAATCTCTATGGTTGGGTGTCCTTTGGAAGATTTACTTAATATTTAAATAACCAAAAAGGCAATAGAACTTGGCTGCTCAAACAGTGGTAGGGTTGTCTCCAAGTAGAGTGCGATTCACACACCCCTGGCTACATAAACATCAACCCTGGATACCACTAATGAAGGCTGTCATTCTGACCCAGTGTTCCGAACAGTGATTCTACCTGTCGTATTCAGAATTTTCCCGAAGCCTAGAATCCTGGAATCTGAGCTCCAAAAACCCTGATTAGTTTGGTTAAGATGTGCAGCTTGGTGATTCCAATGTGTGCAGTTAGGGTGAGACCCACTATCCTAGAATAAAGAATTATCAGCCTGATTCTCCCAGACCCCTTTCCATCCCTCTTACCACTCTTCTCTTTAACCTTGATCATTTGATCCTTTGAAAATCATTAGCACCATCTTCTTGGGTCACATCCAGAATTTGTCTTTAATAGACATCTTCATAGATCTTACCCATAGGAAGAATACATAAAAGATCAAACACCCCCATATGAGCCAGAGTAACCTGGCAAAGAGAACATGGATTGGGTCCAACCAACCTGCAATTGACATAGCTGTGTGATCTTGGACAAAATTATGTTTTTCTGAACTTTAAATCTGAGACAGAATAATTGACAAAGCCCATGTCATAGGTTTTCTAGATAATTCCATGGGCCTAAAGTACAATGCCCACCATGGGGTGGATACACAGTGAATAGAGTGGTGGTAGTTACCCTTGGTGTCTTTGCATACCATCGCATAGCCTGCTTGGTGTTTTGTTCCCCATTTCTCAGCTCATTCTCTACAAGTTTACCTGTCATAAACCACTGTATAATATGCTCTCTCTATAACATCCTGAAGTTATCTATTTACATGCAAGGCACACCCAAAGGCATATCTCTTTGGATTTGGTTGAGGAAATAAAATTCATCTTTATATCTTCATCATCTTTTTTTGGGGGGAGGGGGGTCCAGTCGTGGGGCCTGAACTCTGGGCCTGGGCGCTGTCCCTCAGCTCTTCAGCTCAAGGCTAGCACTCTACCACTTGAGCCACAGTGCCACTTCCAGCTTTTTTCTTTTTGCTTATGTGGTGCTGAGGAATCGAACCCAGGGCCTCATGCATGCAAGGCAAGCGCTCTACCACTGAGCCAGCATCCAGCCCCTCTTCATCATCTTCATATCTTCACCCACCACCTCCATCAGCTCTAAGCCAGATCTCTGTGCGCTCCTGCTAGACCAACTGTCCATCTTATCCTAGTTCTGTCTTTTGAGAGCTACAAAAGCTCTTCAGTGCATAAGGGTCTCACCCTCACTGTACTTTCTCAAGTTTTATAGATTTTTTTCTGAGAGCCAGGCACCAAGGCAATTTGCCAAGTTGGTGAGTATGGTCATAGTGTGTGTGTGGAGGGGGGGGTCAAAACAACCAAATGGAGCCATATGGCCTGGCAGCTCGCTTGGTGGGCAGAAACAAGGCATAAACTATTACGTGTCCATTTTAGCCTTGGTGATTGCAGAGAAAGTGTTTGACCTTCAGTGTCTTGTAGTCTGAACCTCCCTAAGCTACACTATCATGGTAGTTGTAGCCACTGTTGGCTAAGTCTGGCCCTGAATGCTTGGACACATTATCTCATGTAATCTTCCCAAGAGCCACAGTGGGGAGGTGAGAGGGCTGCATTCACAGAAGGCAACGATCGGAGCCACAGACATAGCCAGCTGCAGTAGAGGATAGAGTCACATCTGTACACACCCTGCCTGGCTCATCACAGGTTACAGAGCCTTTGCTGCCATCTGCTCCCTGCCCCTGTACCAAGGGCAAAATGTCTTTTCCATAGCAGCTCAGCCAGAGCTGCCTTTGCAGAGTCCCTGGCCTGAGTTTTGGTGCCTTACTTGTGAAGATTTATGGAGTATCATTAAGGCTCTAGTGGACTTGTTAAAATGCTAGCCCCTTGGACAGGTGCCAGTGGTTCTTGCCTATAATCCTAGCCACAAAGGAGGCTAAGATCTGAGTACTGTAGTTTAAAAAGTCTGTGAGACTCATATCTCTAATTAAAAACCAAAACATGAGAAGTGGAACTGTACTCCAGCCCTGAGCAGAAAAAGTAAAGGATAGCACCTAGGCCCTGAGTTCAAGCTCCAGTAATAGCATATGCAAGCCCCTTATGGGGACATAATTGCCTTTGTTCCTGTACTGCTTGTCATTAGTATTGACAGTTGTTGACCCAGTATGATAACAAATCATTAAGTGTCCACACAGAGCCTGAGCCCAGGCTGACCTCTGGGAATGTGCAGCTGTGCATCACTCATGTAGACCAAGCATCTTCTGTGCTCTCACACATTCACGGTATCAATGAGCCAGAAGTGGTATGAGACTGTGGCTATGATGCCCCATTCCCTTGAAAATGAGCCTTTTGAAAGCTCCTCCCAGATGTTCAGAATGACTTCAGCTGTCCTTGGACCAGGGACCAAGGACTCTTGGTTCCTGTGCTTCTTACCTGAAGATTCAGCTCATCTCTGCAGAGCAATGCTAAACCCACAGGCACATGAGACCTGCAGAGGGCTGGCTCCCTGCCAAACAAGCTTGTAAATTGAGTAACAAATTTGTCAGCCTGCTGAGCACTCCAGGAAGGGGGTCAAAGCTCCATACGGGGTGAGGACGATAAAAGCAGGAACTACTAACCCTGATTTAAGGGATGATGGGGCTCAGGATCACAGGGCAGGTGACACTGCAGGGATGGGGGATGGGACACAGCCTTCTGTGGCCTTGGAATAGACTCCAGAGCAATAAGGGCAAAGGCAGCTCCCAGAGAATGGGGACATTTGAGAGTAGAACTCTGTGCAGGTCTATGTGCCTAGAGAGCAATGGAAGGTGATGGGGCAGAATATGGAGCCTGCTAGGAGAAGCTCTGGGCTTTCCAAACACTGAAATATAGGTGGAACCTGCACTGCTTTGGTTGAACACTATACCAAACAAGCTTCTGTTCCAGGAAGAGGATAAAGAGCTAACTCCTCTGGGTTCGGTCAATGCTGCTGCCACCATCGCTGCTGCTGTAATTTATTTTGCTTTGCTATTGAAAACCCATAGGATAGGACAGAGAGGGGGTGGGAGGCTTGCATGTCTTCCCAGCACCTAGGCATGCACCAGGGGAGCAAACACTGAGTCAGTACACGGTACTCTGCTAGGAATCACATAACTTGTTCTCTGAACTTGTTCTCTGAAGCCCCAGATACCTCCAGGGCACTGTGCTTTACTTTCCACTGAAATCAGAACATTTTGAACTGATTATAATACACATCGATAGGGAGGGACATCGGTAAGTTATTGGATTTATGAGCAAGGAACAGAGATGACACAGAATCAGGACTAGCAGCACCACATACACCTCTGAGCCAAGACCCTCTATTGTCATAGGGCTTTGCCTCTGACAACTCATGACACCTGAGTCCACTCATAACTCAGCCAAAATTAACCATGACTTAGCTCTATGTTTACCATACACAGAATCCATCTTTAGGGCCCAATTATTTGATTAAACCAACTAAGATGAGTGTGTGGGCTAAGATGGATGGTGTTCCTCTCAGTCATGTGAACTAACAGCTTTATTCCCAAATATCCTTTTTTTTTTGGTTTGGCTTGGATAGGAAAGTGTTCTTGGTAAGTAGAAGGAATCTGCTAAGATTGTCTTTATACTTGCAAGAGCTGAAATAGTCAAAGGATTCATAAAGGGCTGTAAAATCTCTCCCACTTAGCACAGTTAGGTAAGTCTTCCATTTATTCTCTCAAGAGGCCCTTGTGTAATTAGAAGCAAGGGACAGCTGCCCAGCGATTGTCTTTAAATTAGAAAGATCAAACCCACTTCAGTTTTCTTCCTCTGTCTTTGAGTCTGTGATGAAATTTAAGAA